CCCCCCCTTGTTGGAAGACTTTGTAAGTACAGGGTATGCAGGGGCTCCGTGCCATGAGTGCATGCGGTGTGACCGCTGATGATCATGTCGTAACAGCTGGGTGCAGGAAGACAGATACAGGACACGAAAGATGCACACAGACAGCTGTGAGATACAAACACGTGCAATAGCAGCAGTAGCTGGCAACCTGTGAGGCTATGATGTGTGGTTGTACGTTCGTGTGATAAAGGTGATGTGTACGTGATGCGTAGACACAGCAGCAGCAGCAGTCCAGCAGTCAGTGGTTTGCTTGGTCCACCACCAGTGCCGGGGGGGGTAAACCCCTCCCGGACCCCCCCCCTCACCCACGCGTGGTTTGCTTGGCCCAAAATATATTTACTTCAATTTTAGCAACAACAACGACAACAACAACTATCTTGAGCTTGAATTAGCTCGTATCTCCTTCGGGCTCATCCTCCGCAAGTACACCCCGCACCAGCAGCACCGGCAGCGGGCGCGATGCGGTAGCAAAAGTTGAGAGATCAAGTCTGGCACCTACGCTGCCGCGGAAAGTCACCAGGAGTCTTAGTCTTCCAAAATGCAACAGGTTTCGGTGGTAACCCTGTCTCCAAGACGCCCCGGGTCGGCGGCGGCGGCGGCGGGAACAGTAAATCGACAGCTCCGGCGAAGGCAGCCCGAGTCGGAGCTGGCACCAAAGCGGCAACAACTGGCGCCACGGTTCAGGTACAGCAGTTATATGCCGACATGCAGATCAAGGGAAGCGGCGCGGACGACGCCGTCACTTACCGCGCCAGGCCGTGACCCGTCTTGGCTCAAGCTCGAAGGTGTTGTTCAGCCCCTCGAGGCAGTTAATTAGGATTCAAAGACTAGGGAGCGGGGGGGCACGATTTCAAATGGTTCTGAAATGTGGATGACGAGGTGTAGAAGTGCTGTAACCATTGTTGCACATATGCATACAATAGAGTAGGACCAAGATACGTTCCGAGCGGAGGATCTTACTGACTGGTTGATCAGCAAGAAACCCTACTATCCGACTATCCGACTATGGATGCGTCCCTCTTGGCGCCATCTGCGGAGCTGGGGAATCCGAGACCCTCGGGCTTGGTCCCCCTCGCCCCTCCGGCGGCACGCTCTTTCCTCTCGCTCATCTGAGGCCTAGACCTCTCCTTGCTAAATCTCAACGAAGGAAACTGCCAGCCCTGAGTAGTTGGAGAAGACTGCTGCGACCTGGGCCTCCCCTCAACGAGGGAAGTGTCCTCATTTCCGTCGACGAATTACAATATACTCTGCTGGCGCTGGAGGTAGAGGTGGCGAGGACGAAGAGCAGGGCGACAATTCCGAGGAGGAGCCCCAGGTCCTTCGAGCTCCGGCTGATGCCCTGGGTGTGGCAGCCGGAGCTCGAAGAACCTGGGGCTCCTCCTCGGAATCGTCGCCCTGTTCTTCGTCCTCGTCTGCCCAACCCCCCTGCTGCTCCCGGCCGGCGACAGTGGGGTCGACCTCATCATCGTCGCCGCTGCTGTTGCTAGCGCGGACGGAATCCGAAAGGATTTCTGCACTAAGGAAACCATTGATCCACGGAAGAGAAGCATTAAGGCTACGTAGGGTTCCTCGCAAAAAAAATGCACTGTAAAAAGGGGATGGCGTGTCGCAGAACCAAACGGAACAAATTCGATGTAGATTAGAGGAAGGGATTTGCACAAAATCAGCTTTGTAGGGGGGGGATGAAAAATAGACCGAAGAAGCGTCTTTTGAAAAACGTTTTGCGCCGTAGATCAAAAAGTCAAAATGTACCAAATCCATAGCCTGTACCAAAAACGTTTTTGCGGCATGAGAACACCCGGTGAACCAACTACATTCGCGTTCAATCTGTTCGTTGATCGAGTATACAAACGCGGAGAACGACGGCGGCGCGCCAGAGGACCCAGAATATCCGGCATTTTGGCCAAATTTCGGGCTGTTGCATGCAACTACATACAGTTCATCAGGACACCTGTAGAATCGTTTCTGGTTGTCTACTGCTGCTGTCAGGTCATGCGACGCCACTCACACACCATGTCGGTAGGCTCTGGCAGTTTCGAACAGCGTAGTTGCTTGGAGCGTGCAGTAGATGTCGGCAACGGAAGCACACTTCGCTGCGCTGGTTCACCAGAAATCTCGACGTGAAAATTGTGCTCACATCGCAAAACTGCCATCACCTCGATCTCGCGCTACAAGGCCTAAACTGTTGCTCGGCACAGTTTTGATCAACGAGGTTGCTCAAGCTGGTATGCAATCTCCAAAAAGATGTAGAGGTTGTCTCTCCTGGGCTAAGCGACAGAGGGGACAATTGAGATTTTACGGCGGTCGGCGGGGGGCACCACACCGGATTTTTCACCTAGCAGTTTGACCTGTGGGGAAAATATATATATAAATATATAGTTGGGGAAAAAAGCACCATCGTGGAGCACCGGAGACATACGGGACGGCGAGGAACCTTGCGTAGCCTCAACCCTCCTAGAACTGGAAGCCCAAAATAGGGACAGTTTGGGGACACAGCACTCAAACGCTTTTTTACCGCACCGCAATCACCCTAGGCTCCGCTGTGTGAAACTCACGTGAGAACCCTTGGTCTATCTGCTTGGCTGAGGTGGTACGCTGTGTGGTATGCTGTGTGATACCTCTCCTCGGCCTCGGACTTGCTGTACACCATCTCCCAAGCCGCGTGTCCCCTAGGTCGTAAAAGTGTACATCGAAATTTTGCTGACGTGGCTTCAGTATGAAAAGTGTCCCCACGTGTTTCGGGGACACTTTTCATGCTGAAGCCAAGTCACCCTTTGTCTGGCAAGGAGGTCGGGTTCTTCGGAGGGACTGTAGCCCCTTGACCCTTGACCAATGGTTGACATGCATTTTTTTGTGACATTTTTTTGTTGCGGAGGGACTGGGTACGAGAAGGTTTAAACGCCGTTGCTTGTATTGCCGGCGGTCCTTCACCATATAGCCGTCAACCACTGTGCTTCGTCCTCGACAAGCTTCTTCATTGTTTCTCAACATCATCATCATCAACAGCAAGCACTTGCTCTGCCGCATGATGGTAATAAAGGCGTACCGTATGCGCTTCTTCTACGTTTGGCGAAGGACTCTTGGCTAAAATACTCATCACCTCACCCAGCCCAGCGCCAACGCACGGCCGCTGGCCGTTATGATGCTGGGGGAAATACTGCAAAAGTGCATATAGAATACCTCTGGACACAAGCAAGTTGTCCGACATGCTTGGATCGACCGCCAATCTTGACAAACGCTCGGGCCCCACTACGCGGGGTTTGCTCGCTACATAGCTCCACAGACGACACGGTGTGAGAAAGGGGGTAAGGCCTTCGACCAAGCGGCTGCCTTCTTGCTAGTGCTGGTCGATGATGAAGGTTTTTCCTGTGTGAAAAAGGTCGTGCTTGGTTTGACCCTGTGAGAACAGTTCCACAGACAATGCCATCTTTGCATGCTCGAAGGTCCGACGAACCTACAGACGGACGGCCTCGTTCGCAGGTCGAAACTGTCCAACGCGCGTGTAGTCATCGCTTGTCGTCATCGTCGTCGTTGCTGTTTTCGTGGACGACGCCGTCTCCACCGATAGGAAGAAGTCATGCGGCAGACGGAGGAGTCCATCCGGCGCAGCATGGACAAGCTCAAAACCGCCCAGCCCTTCGTGTGGGAGGCCCTCGAGCTGAAGAAGAGGCTGGCGCTGTGGCAGGCACAGACGGCCGGCCTCAACATCCTGCAGCTCGTGAGTGTGCTCGCCCAATCTGTTGCTTGGTCCATTTATGCGCCAACCTAACTTGTTGTCCAAGCTTGCTCTACAGCGCCACTGAGTACCTATGTCTTTGGCTCTTGTGCTGTTGCTCTGGTTTTGTTGCGCACGGTGCCAATCGTCGTACGTCCACGTGCAAGCATTTTCGACTCTCACACCGTTGTTTCGGAGATCGGGGTCATCACCCGGGCGACTTCGCACGCACCACGCGTATTGTAGGCCATGCCGTTCCAAGAATCGCTCTCACGTGCGGAACTTCGGAGGTAGAAGTTTCCTCAGTGCTTTGGAAGCGTCTTGCGGAGATCTCTGCAGTTAAAGATGGATACGGTATGCTGTTTGATGTCGGCATAGTAAAGGAGTACGCTTGGCACGTGTAAGCACAACTATCCCGCCACACTCTAGTTTCACCCGGATGGGTAGGCATTTCCATATTCATGCCCCATCACCATTGCGACACCTACCTGCTTCCCTACGCCCCGCACCCCCTCTCTCTCCGTCGCTCTCTGCGTCTCTCTCTCTTACCTATCTCTCTCGTTCTCTTATCTCGTTCTCTCGCGCCAAAGTCTGAGCTACCCCCTCGACAAGTCCAGGAAATGAAAGACGCCGAGGCGCGAGTCAGGAGGCTACAGGTGAAAGCAACAGCCATCTGTCCATGGAGAGCAAATTGTGTCTTCCATGAACAGCATGCAGGGCGTTGCTAGCGCTCGAAGGATGCATGAGCCTCTCCTCTTCTCTCGAACGGTCTACTGAATTGACCTCTCCACAAAATTCACGGTGAATGGTCTTTGCATCTCGTGGTCTTCGGGCTGCCCCCTTCTTTTATGTCCACAGGTTGTCTACCTGTGTCGAACTACTCTGACAAATGCGTTTCATGTCTATGAAACCTAACGATGTTTGGTGTTACGCCGATCCACGCGAACCTGTTGCAGCAAATGCCGGCCGAGTAGCTGTGCGTGAAGCGATTCAACGAAAAAGTAACACGCACAACCCCCCCCCATTTTTGCTTCCGAAAACTCTTTCATCGACCGCATGGATGGCGGCAAATGGCATGACGATCCTCATCCTCCTCCTTGTCCAACGTTACCCCGACAAGACAAACGCGGGTGTGGGGGGTGGAAGGGGAGAAGGAACCGAACATGTGTGTGGTGTGGGTTGATGTATAGCTCGTGGCAGCAGCTCGGTGCGACTTCGTCCCCAGCAGCTGACGGTTGCCGGTAGCCCTGCAGCATCCCCCGAAGGTTTGGCATCATGCTCCTTTCTTTTTTTTTTCGCTCTGCTGCTGCCTAGGAACGATGGAGTGAAGTGTTTTCGCTTGCTGCTCCCCGCTTGCACCACCGCCACCAGCACCATTTCGCAAGCGTCAGGATGCATTCGTGCGCTAGCGAGCTCTCTCTCCGCTGACCCTGGCCTCGCGTTTGGGCGAAAACCTCGCCCACCCGCACCACTCGCTGCTTGTTGGCTGATGTCGTAGGAGGAGCATGGCATCACTGATCGTCTACTGCACAACATTGCCCAAGAAGCAACATGGGATGCTTCAGCCAGGCGCGTTTCTCTTTTCGGCTCTGAATTCTTCGTACACCGCGGCGTGTCGACCGCTTGGGGCTGTTTGGAACGCACGCACGCATTTTTTCTTACCTGTTGGTTTGGCACGCTAGTGCTTACTCCCCGTTTTTGCCGCCGTCTGTCTAAATGTATTATTCAGACGCGGCCGTATTGTTTGCGCTACACCAGCACCTCCTTGTGCTTCCGGCAGTCGTCCTTCGCCCATATTTGACGTGCTTGCCGCTGCTCTCTTGACTGCTGCTGCTGCTGCTGCTGCTGCTGTGGTGGGTGGGATGCGTACGTTGACGGTTTATTTTCGTTGCACTGGTACGGTGTGCCAGGGTCAAGGATGAGCGTCAGGCGAACGTCCAGCTACCGCCCTCGGCCGTGGAGCACATGCAGGCAGTGGTCCAACGATCGGAGGCCGCGGGCGACTCGAGGGTGATGGACGTAGGGGCCGGCACCGGGATCCTCCTCCGATTCTTGCAGGGTGCCGGCGTCAAGCAGGTGCGGCGCAATAAAAGGGCTACGGCGTTGTGTTGCCACGCGCGGGGACAGGCGTACGGCAAGCAGCTGCGAGAAAAAGTAGCTACAGCCAGAGGCAGAGATGTGAAGACACCAGTAGTGGAAGCATTGCGAAGGGTAGAGGGAGCACCCAACGTGAATCGGAGCAATAACACCAATGGGATGGGGGTGTTGCCGAGACGGAGTCAAAAGCCTCACTTTTCTCTGCTCTGTAAGACAAGCGGAGCCACATTCTCTCGCATAAACACACCTTTCTTTGTCCTCGCCCAACGCGCGAACATCTATCATGCGACAGGGCGTGTTTCGCTGGATGCTTTGCCGTCTACGTGTATATCGGCTTTACCTCCGAACGGCAAACTTTGCCGTCTACATGCATACTTCTTTTATTTTTTATTGCTTAACCTCCGAACGGAGTCTTCTGTCTGGTTGTGATAGAACTCCTCGGCGTTGGACTTGGGAGACCTAATTGTTTTTGGCCAGTTCTCCTCCATATTTCCACACATCGAAGCGCACCACCTTACACGGCATCGCACACACAGGAGAAATACGTTGGGGTGGACCTTTCGTCCGTCATGGTCGATGTGGCGAGCAAACGCTACCCCCACGCCACCTTCCTCAAGGTGAGAAAAGGATCAGAATGTTGATGACCTCGGCCTGGCTTTGCTCGAGTAATTGAGCCTACTACTCTCTCATGCTTCCTTTTGTGGAGATCCCATCCATGCATCTTCTGTGGAGACGTACACGGGACTGTACGATCTCCAACAACATGTGGTGCGCGCGCGGGGGCGGCGTTGTGGCCGTACGGTTCTACATTGGCAGGGCGAGATAGTCGGAAAGAGACTGAAGAGGTTGAGAGGATAATCGAGGGGCCTCGGTGTGTAGCAGTTGGCGTTCGGAAGTCGGCCATGTTTGATGTGATTCCACGGCGATGGCTGATTTGGATCCGAGTCCATGATTGGTGTAATTCTGCATATGATCCGTGAGTTGAGAGATCTGACAGCAAACGGTGAACGGTACTGTGCTCGGTGGTCTTGGCCAATCAGCGTGAGGGTCTCGGGGTCGATACCCGCGCCAAATCCTGATATACCTTTCGTGTCACTCCCCCCCCCCCCAA